GGGAGCTTAGCCGTAGCTAGAATCCAGCTGGTCTCACCCCCTCTCTCATTTCCTGGCCCCACCCCCAAACCCTGACCCCAGTCCAGCTCAGCCCTCATGCTCTCGGTCTGACTTTCAAAGAGTTTCTACAAGGAGACGGCACTCTGAGGCCAGTGCCTCTCAGCTGACTCACCCACTTCTATTGGCATTTGGGTTCTGGCATCCAGAGGGGGGTTTGAGGTAGGGTTAAGACCAAAAACCCAAAGCTTCCTAAGAATGTACCAAGGCTAGACGTGGGTGAGGCCTAGGAGGGGCCTGTTCCTCAAGGATGGACCAGAGCCCTGAAAAGCCTCAGCTCCGCACCCCCTAAACTGCAGCCAGGTCCAGCTGGGTGCCCCTGCCCTCAAAGATGGCAGAATCTCTCAGGTGAAGGGCAGAGGTTTCTAGGAGAGAAAATCACTGGAGTCTCACAGCCCCTCCAAAGCCCAGGCTGGTGGGAGTTGGGAGGGAGAGTCCCACGAATTCTTCTCTTCACCCCTTCCCCCCACATCCTCCTCGAGGGCAGAATACAGCCTGCAATTCTTGCTTGTTTGCAGTGCTGAGCACCCCCCAAGAGGCTAGGGGGAGAGCAGAGGACGGACAGATGGAGAGTCCAAGGCATGCTGGGTGCTGGCTCTGCAGATGGGTTAGAGCCTGGGGACCACAGATTCCACAAGACAGAACTAATGCTGGAAGCAGGGTCAGAGCATGTTTCCTAGTTGGGGGTTGTGGAAAGGCACTGGGATTTTAGTTCTTATGGGGCTGGCCTTTGAGGGCTTCTGCCCACCTGAAACTAAGAGGAGGGGTGGAGAACAAGTCCAGTGGCCCTTCTCCTCAACTCTCTCCTGCATCACTAAACTCGGGGGGGCGGGGAGGGCTGTCTTCCCTCCTTTGACCCAGATGAAGGGCAGGGGATGGAGCTGGGGACTCACACCCATGTGCTCTCTCAACCATTGTTTATATAACCTGCAGGATGATCCCAACCAAAGCCTATGGTGTGTTCATCTCCTAGAGAGACAATAATGGGGTAATTAGGCGCTACAGTTCCTCCTCCCCTGTGACTCACAGAAGACTGACAGGTCACCACCATCATTCAGCTGTGCAGCCAGCCAGGCCTTCTTTGCCTGGCTCTGACAGCAGCTCAGTGGCCATGGTCATGCCTCTCAGCCACACTTCTCAGGCATCTATCCATTCATTCATCCATTCCACAAACCTCTACAGGGCCTACTGTGTGCCAGGCACTGTTGTAGACACTGGGGCTGCTGCGATGAACAAGCCAGACAAAAACCCTTGACCTCAAGGAACTGAAATTCTGCTGGAGGGAGACAAACACTAGATAACAGATCTGAAAAATATATAGTTCATCAGAGGATAAGTGCCATAGAGAGAAATAAAGCAGGGAAGTGGGAGTTGGCAGCCCATGTGAGCTCAGGATTGTGAATGAAGCAAACACCTGGAGCGGGGAGCAGATGGGCAAGCACAGGTGCAGGGAAACCAAGCGCTTGGCAGCAAGGGGCCAGCAGGGCTGCATGGGCAGGGGGCAGGGGGAGGAGGGGCCAGCAGTGCTGCAGGGGGGAAGGGGCAGCGGCTGGATGCCGTGCAGAAGCATGGTCTGACCTCACTCTCCAGCTGCTGTGTGGACACAGACTGTGGGACCAGCAGAGGCAGCCTGTAGGAGGCCATTGCATCAACCCAGGTGGCAGGTAATGGTGACTCAGAGTGGACCAGGGAGTAGCCATGAAGACTGACAGGAGTGATTGGATTCTGGATAGGAGGCAGGGCCACGGGGTTTGCTGCTGGACCCCATGGGAGTGTGGGGAGAGGGGAGGAGTGGAAGATGTCACCAAGGAGTCTGTCCTGAGTGACTGAAAGATGGGGAAGGCTGAGGGAGAAGCAGGCCTCCAGGGAAAGGGCAGTAGCTCAGTTTTTTGTTCATGGTAAGTGTGAGGAGCCTATTAGACTTCCAGATGGGGGCACTGACTAGGCAACTGGAAATTCTAGTCAGGAATTTGAGAGCGAGATTGAGGATGGAGACATAAATTTTACAGTCATCTGTATAAAAGATGGTATTCAAAGCTTTAAGGGTCTTGAGACCCCACAGGCAGTGAGGGTAACAGGAGGAGTCAGGGCCCTAGAGCAGCGTGATTGGGCAGGCTGGGGAGAACCCAGGAGAGGGTGATGGCCTGGACTCCAAGTGAAGAAGATGCTCTGGGGGGAGGGAAGGAACAGTTGTATCAAATGCTACTGAGAGTCGAGCGAGAGGAGGCGTGAGACTTGACCCCCACGGAGGCCACTGGTGATCTGGATGAGAGCATTTTTAAGAGGGTGAAGAGAGAATGGGAGGAGAGGAATTGGGAGGAGAGAGGGGAGGAGGGAGAGAGGGCAGAGGGGAGTTGAAGATAGAATGCATAGATTCTCTTATAAGGAGCTCTGCTATATATGGGAAGCAGGGAATGGGGCAGGAGCCAGAGGGGGATGTGGGTCAAGAGTGTTTTGTGGGTTTCTTTTCAGATGGGAGAAATGACAGCATGTTTCTATGCTGATGGGAATAACCCAGCAGAGAGGGCAATACTGACAATGCGGTAGAGAGAGAGAAAAAATTGCTGGAGAGACCTCCCCATCCTCTCCCCAACTCCAAGCCAATAGCAATTGTCCTCTTTGAAGGGGAACACAGGGGCACTGGAAATGGCACCAGGTTGGGAACAGGACATGGGTCCTGGTCTTAAACCTGACGCTTACTGGCCATGAGATTCATGCTAGCCCCTTAGCACCCAGGGCTTCGGATGTGGAAAGCAGTTCTTACGACAGCAGGGCTGCCTCCCTCCCTGGATTACAGTGGAGATCCAATGAGATTATAGGTGTGAAAGTGCTTTGTAAAACATAAAGGGTGGAACAGATGGTTGGGATTATTTTTATTATTCTAATAACACAAGGGATCATTAAACAAATTTAAGGGATTACTGTTCACTCAGCCTTTCTCGTATGTACAGCCTCCCTGCGTAGCTCATACACTTGCTGTGACCTGATCCTCATGAAGCCAAGTAAACTCTGTGGATGCAAATCCTCCTCCAGCTCTCCACCAGCCCCATCTGCCCTGGCTTGACCCCTCTTCTGTCCCTGGCAAACGTTGCCCTTGGAGGCCTCCAGACGCTATTGCCCAGGCTTGCTCATCTGAATGAATGTGGTCCTCCTCTTCCTTTCCTGATAGCCCAATTCCCCGCCCCGTGCTTTTAATGGAAACTTTTCTTTAGAAGGTCTTGCCTCAAGGGAAGAGCACCGGTCCAGGAGCCAAGAGGGGATAGTGCCTTAGGGTGACTAGCCATCCTAGTTTGCCCAGGATTTAGGGGTTTCCCAAGAAGTGGGACTCTCAATGCTGAACCTGGGAAAGTCCCAGGTGGGTTGGGATAACTTGGTCATCCTACTCTTGACCAAGGCCACACTTAGTTGATTGGCCATTATCTTGCCAGGAAATCTTGGACAAATCACTTAACTTCTCTGGAATTCAGTTTTCCCATCTGTGAGAGGAGAGCTTAGGATTTTACTAGATCCCTTTTTAGTCCCTTCCAGCTCTCAAGTTCCAAGCCTGGAAGTCACATATTCATTCCACAGTATAAACTGAGGGCTACTATGTACCACGCCCTGTGCGCTTCCTGTTGGCCGTGGCACCCAGGCATGCAGCATGGTACCTCACACACAGCAGGTGCTCACTAAAGACCTGTTGAAATGACAAATGAACCTACTACACCCCCACTCCCAGCTTGATTCCCATCCAAATCCCCCAAAACCTCTACTCACAGTTCTGATCCACATCCTTTTTCCCATCTCAGCTCCCCCAACCAGTCACCCATGAACCTCTGGCCCCTGTGACTAAGCCAGGAACTCTGGCCACTGAGTTGAGCTGAACTCAGTGAGGGAGAGAATTTGGCCACTGCTTCTGCTGTCAATGGATTTTTACCTTGGATGACTTCCCAAGAAGACGTCACCAACACAGGCTTGCCACCTGGGTGGATCCTGGAGCACTATTGCAGTCAGGTGCTTGGAGCCCACCTGAGCAAAATGCCTGTGTTGGGCTGCTCTGGGCAGGTGTCTGTCTCTGGTGACCTCTTGTCTCCTGGATATCTGCTCCCAGCCATTCTCCACTTAGCTTCACACCCTGAGTGGGACTCTCGAGCCAGATGGTCCAGGCTCGCAGTTTGGCCCTACTACTTCCTAGGATGCTGTATAACCAGGGATATATTATTGGATATCTCTGAGCTCCAGTTTCCTCATGTTATTTTAATAACAGCAGAACCTGTCTTATAGACTTACGGTGAGGATTAAATACACATGGTGAGCTTGCTGGCGGGGTCGGGGGGAAGCAGTACTCAATAAATGTTAGCTATTACTGTTATCATAACCATAATCATCATCACCAACACTCCGCTTGGTGAGAACAGCAAAGAACAAGCTCAGTCTGAAAGTGTCTCTCTCTTTCACAGGGTTCTTAGAATCTCCTTAGCTCCAAGAACCTTCCCACAAAACTATGCTGTCTACCCTAAGTGACTCATTGTACAGGCTATGAATGTATTGAAACAACACACTGTACCCCACAAAAATAAATACAAATAAAATTGAATTAAAAGAAAAAAAGACACCTTCCCAGAGTACCCCTAGGAGAGCAACTACCAACTTGGTCCACATGGCCAGGACACCCCCACTCTCCCACCCCCAAAAGCAGTGCTGACCCTCCCCAGGAGGGAGGGGTACCTCTTCCCAGCTCTGCCACTGTCTACAGCCTTCCTTCCCCTCTGCCCAGGTCAGCGGGTGTGTCTTGCAGACCAGATAGAGCTCCCTGAATGCGGCACTGAGCCTACCCCCACCTACAGGTGCTCCAAAAGGGTTCAGGGAAGAGGACTGAGAGGAAGACAGGGGTGGAGGAAGGGCCTGGCGAGATGTTCAGAAGGCAGAGAAGGCAGGGCCCCCAGGGAGCTGGCCACACTCACCAACGTAAACACACATGCTCCCAGCGCAGCATAAACGGCGTGGAGCCAGGGCACCTGTGGGAAGAGGCAAAGTATGCTTAGGGATGGCAAGAAGGGGCAGAGGGTGGGGAGGAGGGCCCTGTCCAGAGGATGGAGGATGTGGGGTATCTCTCCCCAGCTCTCCCTAAGAAGCCTCGGGACTGAGTGGGGTCCTTAATTCTGTGAGCTCACGGTGGGTGGGGGGAACCCAGGATAGGAGTGATCATGGAGGTACTGAGCCCCGGGGGGTGGTGGGGAGCTCCCAACTGAGCTGGTACTTCTTCCCTTAACATGTAGCCCCAGGCTCAGGCTGCGTGAAGGTGACTCATCCTGTCGGGGCCCTGTCATCCTCCCAGCGTGTCTGGCTGGAAGCTGCTCCCGCCTCCCAACACACTCATCCCTGTCCAGTATGGGATCTGTCTGGTCCTCTGTCAGGGAGCTGTGGCTCTGCCTTGGGGACAAGAGGCTCAGGTGGAAGGGGACAAAGATTTGAACTCAGGGATGTGGGGGGGGCATCTGGAGTCTTTGCGAATTGTGCATGATGGGCTTGCCTGCGGAGGCTGGAATAATACCCCCTCCCAGCCTCTGCTCCCCTAGGTCTCAGTCTCAGGAGCACCCAGCTGTGTGTGGAAACCCTGCAAGAAGTGCCATACCAGCCGCACCCTCTGTGGGGCCCTCCCCCAGAAGATTCCTGGAAACAAAGGCATCCCATCAGTCTGACCTGGATCAATAAAGAGTTCTTTGAAGTTCTTGGGGCCCTTTCCTGTAACCCCCCTCCCCACCCTAGATACACAGCGGGCCCCCAGGCCAGCTCCGGCCCCTCCCTTCGTCAACAGGATCTTGGGAAGAGCCAAGGATATGCCAGAACCAATCCTGATGTCCTGGACTGGGAGCCAAATACCCGTAGGCTGGGGCTGGGCAGGATGGAGATGGGAGTGAGGGATACTGCTCCCAGCCCCGGCAGAAAGGGACGATGGGAGACCATGTACCCAGTGTGGCTAAGATAAGCACTGAGTCCCCAGCAATAGTCCAACAGTTCATGTGTGGTGTTCCCAGAATTCCAACCTCAAGGCCCTCCTGTGATGCCCTCAATCTGCTCCCTTCTCAGTGTGGCCTGAGCATCTGCACAGTCCCAGCTAGACTTCCCCAGGGCAGGCTGGACACTCCAAAAGACCTGAGATTTGGCCAGCCAGCCTGTGGATGCTCTAATGGGTGAGGGTGTGCTTCAAGCCCCACGGCCCAACCTTGCCGGCCAGATTCTGCCTCTTTGAACTTGGCTGATCCCCCAGCAGGCCTTCCTCAAGACCCCTCTGGGCCTGGTGGGCCTGGGCCCCAGGGAGTCCCAGTGCTTCCTCCCCTGCCCCACGGGGGCCAGGGGGGTTTAAATGCTCCATGCCCTCCCCTCAGCCTCACCTCCACCCTACAGGGGAGGGTGGAAAAGGTGAAGCCGGATGTGGCTCCTGGAGCCGGCCAGGTGCCCGGGCCTACCAAGAAAAGCTTCCTTGTTTGCTTACGCTGCCAACACGCCAGGCAGGGGCCACGAGGGCTAGACAGGATGGCAGGCTGTGGGGCTTTGGCTCGGGGCCTTCCCTGGGTGCAGGAGGGAACGGTCCCCTCGGGCGGCGGGCCCTCTCCTCCCTCCCCGCGGGGCCTGTGGGGAGCCGGAGACTCACGTATTGGAAGGGCAGGAGGATAGCTAGGATGAGTCCGCTGAAGAAAAGAGTCATGAGCAGCACGAAGAGCACACCCTGGCAGGAGGTGAAGTCAAACTGCGGGAACAGGGCGGGAGTCAGTGTGCTGGCTGGAGACTGGGGCTCCCCCAGAGCCCCGGCATTCCCCTTCTCCCTACCAGGTGGCCTCCCCAGACCCAGCGCACCCCCTTTACCTCTCCCCAGCCGTGGATCCACGCTTGGACCCCCCACCCCGGGTGCCTTCCCCGGCTCAGCCTCAGCCAGGGGGTCCCTTCCCACAGGTCCCAGAGCTGACCTTGGTCTGGAAGCTGAAGAGGGTGACCGAGAGGCAGACAAGGGCCGTGATCCCCAGGCACAGCAACACAGATGTGGTGTTGTAGTAACTGAAAACCGTCAGGCCAAGGGGTCAGCTTCTGGGTAGGGCTCCTGGCCTTCCCAGCATGACCTCTGGCCCCAACCCTTTCCCAGGATCCGCCCTGTCTCCTTCCCCAGCCTTTCCGCTGCGCCCTGCCCCTCCCAACGTGCTTAGACTCAAGATCATGTCAGAAGGATCTTGAAGAGGTGGAAGTGGAGAGGGGGAGAGGTTTGTGCTGGTGCCTGGAGGTGGTTTACAGGTAACTGCAGGATTATGAGTCTAGGGTCTTTTAAGCTGCAGCTTGAGAGGAATCACCTTGCTCCCTACCATCCCTCCCCCTGCCAACTGCCCTGGCCCTGGAGTCACTGTCCAGCTGAGTGTACCAGGAGAGGGCTCTAGGTCAATGTTGCCTGCTTGCCTGAACCCCCGTCCCCACCCACATACTCCCAGGAAGGTGTTTCAGGGCAGCTTCCTCTCTCCTTCCACCTGCTTCCTTTACCTGGACAACATCCCAGTGAGGTAGGCCATGGACAGTGTCTGCAAGGAGAAGCAAAGTGAAGGAATGTTCTAGAACTCAGACTTCAGGGCCCAGCCCGGGTCTGCGCCCCTTGTATGTACGCCCCAACTCTGAGTTTGCTTCCCCTGCACATATTTACTTTCAGGACTCGGGCCTGGCTAAGGGGTGACCCCACAGGCCAGCTTCCAGGCTCCTGTGCTAGCTGCTCCTTTCTTTCTTTCACAGTCCTGCTCTCCCCGCCTTTAAAAGACTGCCCCCCTCCCAGATCTTCTTCACCATCCATAACACTAGGATGTCTCAGACAAACCTCTTAAAAACAAAATCACAGTGGAAAGAGACAGTGGATGAGGAGTGGGAGGAGACTAAGCCCATTTGGAAAGAGGGCGGAATGTTTTTGTGGAAGAAGTGGGTGAAAACACCCCCGCCCCCTCAATGACCTCACACCGGACACCCCCAACCCAGCCTTCCTGGCTCTCAAAGCCCACCCTGCCTCCCTCCTTCTCCATCCCCTCTCAGCATCTGTGCCCAGCTCGCTCCCAGATCACTTACAAAGATGGTCAGGAGAATCAGGTTCCAGGGGAAGTGCCTCCTGGAAGGCAAGCCACAGAGTTCAGAGCAGAGTGGGGCCACCGCTGCAGGGACAGGTCTCTGCCCAACCCCCACCAAACTTCATGGAGTCTCTTCCTTCAGTCACATCCCCATGTGCCCCCATCTGTCCATCCACCCTCCCCCCATCTCAGAGGTGCCAAGTAAAGGAGGGAGGGGCAGGCCTGCTTGACAGAGGCCCAGAGAGGGATGGAGCCTTCTCAGGGGTGCACAGCACACTGGCAGCAGGCAGAGCTGGGGCCAGAACTTTCAAGATCCTGCTCATATTCTCACAAGTTGCTCCTCAGGCCATTATCATACCTGGGTCCAGAACAGCAAGCCAGGGTCAGGTAGGTCGCAAAGAATACAGCACTGCGAGGGACAGACAGATGGCAAGTCAGCCAGCCAGTCCCTCCTGAGGCCCTCTACTCAGGCTGCTGTTCATCCCACTCCTTGCCACCCTTGCCCACAGGGCAGCCAGGCAGAATGGCAGGGGGGTGGGCGGGCGAAGAGGCCACAGTCATCCTGGTACCTGGCAATGGGCAGGGTGGCGGTCCAATTCCAAAAGAGAGGAAGAGGCTAGGATGAGCCTGCTTCCAGAAACATGAAATTGTGGGTACCATGGGACAGCTTTTTTATTTTTATTTTTTATTATTATTTTTTTTTCTGAAAGATGACCGGTAAGGGGATCTCAACCCTTGGCTTGGTGTTGTCAGCACCACGCTCAGCCAGTGAGCAAACCGGCCATCCCTACATGGGATCCGAACCCGTGGCCTTGGTGTCATCAGCACCACACTCTACCGAGTGAGCCACAGGCCGGCCCATGGGACAGCTTTTTAAAAAAAAAAAAAAAAAGATGACCGGTAAGGGGATCTCAACCCTTGGCTTGGTGTTGTCAGCACCACGCTCAGCCAGTGAGCAAACCGGCCATCCCTACATGGGATCCGAACCCGTGGCCTTGGTGTTATCAGCACCGCACTCTCCTGAGTGAGCCACGGGCCGGCCCTGGGACAGCTGTTTTTGACCACCCGATCCAAAGTGGTTTCCCCAGACACTATTCTACTACTTTTAAAGCTTGTATGCAGTATTTTCTACGTGCTAGGCAGAGTTGTAAGTGCTTTAAGAATATTAACTAATATAATACCCATGAAGTATGTGTTTCATTTTACAGCTGAGGCCCAGTGAAGTCAGGTGACTTGTCCAAGGTCACACAGCTACTGTGTTGCAGAAGCAGGATTAGAACCCAGGCACTCTGGTTCCAGAGTCCTTGTTTATAATCACTACCCCACACTGCCTCATTCAGGCCCTTCTCAGCCCTTATGACTGCCATCACTGCCTGTGACAATCTTGTTACTTTAGTGTTGCTCTAGCATACTAGACTATAAGTTCAGCAAGAGCAGGGCCCCTGCCTGTCCTACCAGCACCTGGCACAAACAGGAAGTGGCTCCTGTAGAATGAATTTCTGGACCAGGTGGCCATGTCCAGTGGGAGAATGGCATCCGGATAGAGTGCTTGAGGATCAAGGATTTTCTGGAGAGCAGTGGAGGCAGAGGCCAGTCTGGGAGGGGGGAGATGAGGGCTGAGGGCCCAGGGGCAGGGCATGCTTATGCCTACCTAGGTTAGTGCCACCACCAGGGCATGGTCTCCAACTCCAGTGGGCTTTCGGCATGGCACCGCCATCCCTTCCCTATCTACTTGCCCAGTTCTCTCACTCATCCTCCACAGCAGCAATTCCAAACTTCCTCCTCCTTCCACAAACCTCCACGGCCACCTCACTCTCCCACATAGTCTGCCTGGATGGGTCCCAGACAGGTTTGGGAAGATGAGACGGGGCTCCCTTGGCTCCCTGCCTGCCGCCTGCAAACATCACATAGTGCTATGTGCCCTCCTTTCCCTCCTCCCATCCCAGGCCAATCCCCCCAGTGTGGGCTCTGGGTCCCACCCCCTCAACTGCCTGGTGATCTCCATTACTGAAACCTTCCTGCTGGTACCTCTCCTACACAAACCTCAACTGGTTTCCATCTTTAACCAACATCTTCCCCGACTCTAGCTCCTGCCACTTTACCTGTCCTCACAGCCAAGCTTCCTGAAAAAGTGGTCTCCACGCACAGTATCCTCTTTTCCATCTTCCCAACCCCCAAACCCAGCCTCAGGTCCACTTAATGAGAGCTGGTCTTGCCACATCACTATGACCTTTTTGAGTCCAATTGACACTCTCTTGGGTCCCCTCCTACCTCCCTGCCACTCCTTCTCAGTCTCTTTCCTAAATACACCTTCATTGCAGGGTCCTGTCAGGCTCGCTTCCTTCATGCTGTCCCTAGTTGGGCTCACTCATCTCCATGACTCACACATCTTTATTTTTGATCTATATTTTCCTTCTCAACCCCAGACTTGAATACTCAACTGCCTACCGTGCAGACATGGCTATTCAGAAATGCATCTGATTCAACAGGTTAGAACTGAACTCTCCATCTTTCCTGCTCCTCCTCCTGTATCCCCTTCTGCAGAGGACACCATGCACCCTCCAAGCCACCCAGCCAGAGACCTCAGCATCATCCTGCCATGCCCAATTGGTCACCTGGACCTGTTGACCTTTCTACCCAGGCAGTTTTCAAATCTGTCCTATTCCCTCCATCCCCACTACTGCCCTTTTAGGCCAGGCTCCCTTTACCTCTCTTTCTCTCTCTGGCCTGGACCCTTGCAGGAATCCATCTGGTCCCTGCCATTCATTCTCCAAGCTGCAGGCAGATCTGATCATGTGACTCCCTTGTTTAAAATTCCCAAAGACCTGGCATACCTGCGCAATCCACCCTTGCCCACCTCTCCAGCCATCTCTCCCTTCGCTCTGTCCTTCCAGTCTACCTGTCTCTTTACAACCTGCTCTGCAACCTCGAAACATGCCCACCACACTCTGCCCCTGCTGGAAACGACCAGCTGGCAAGGACACATGAGACCTGAGTTAGAGGGGCTTCCTCTGTGCTCAGCTGAAGCCTCCTTCCCCACACTCTATGGGCCAGCTCATCTGACCCCTCACCCAAGTGTAGCATCTGGGGGCCATCCTGTGACTTACTCATTTGGTATTCCCACCATCACCAATCTGGGGTCTGAACCTGGTAGGTGCTCTTTAAATATTTCTAGATGAAATGCAAGAAAACAGGGACTGCAGGGGTTGAGACAAGCTTATTGGATTTGGTGAGTAGGATTGCTGCATCTTAACCCTTTCCTACTTTTCAGTGATTATCAAATAATATGGAACTGTTGCTACAGTGATTGGGGGGTTCTGCTGGTAATGGGTGCCAGGGACCAGGGCTGCTGAACATCCTGCTCCATGCAGGACAGTAGAACCATCCTGCCCCAGTTGAGAAACACTCCGGCATCTGCTCTCCTTCATTCTTACTTGAGTCACTCGTCAGTCACTTCAACAATAATGATAATAATAATACCCTTGTCTGTGTGTATCCTGGGTGTGGGTCATGGCTCCCTGGCCAGACTGGAAGCTTCCTGAGGGCAAGGGCCTCTCTCCTTTACTCTCTGGTCTTTAGCTCCTTAACCCTCAAGACAAGGGTTTGGGAGGAAGGGCAGAGGGACCAAGGACCCATGGATTATGGTGCAGCTTTGGAGTCTCACGCCCTGCATTCACGTCCCAGCTCTGCCACTACTATCATGTGACTTTGCACAAGTTACTTAATAGCCAAGTCCCAGTTTCCTCCTTTGTAAAACAGGAATACCAGCACCACTAGCTGTTGGGAGGACTGATGAGAGAATGCAATTCAAGCATTTAGCACGGGGCCTGGCACTGGGTAGGGACTCCCTGATGGGACATGCTATTATTATAATTAGAAGCTGGATGAAGGACAGCTTCCTGGAGAGGTTCTGACCCACCTCCGCCCCAGCACTCTGGTCTCACAATTTTCCTCCTCTACCTGGGCCACCGAGCCATCATGGGTCAGTGGGAGCAATCAGACAATAAGGCAAGAACCCATAGAGGGAGATGACTGGGGCCTTGAGAAAGCCTGGGCAAAGGGGGTGAGGTTGTGGGGGGAGGCCGGCATCCCAGAGCACAGAGAATGAGTCACAGAAGAAGTAAGGGAACAACTGATTTGTACAGAAGAGCCTCAGCCCCAGGGCCTGGGCCAGAGCCAAAGTCTGTTTACAGAGTGTCAGGACAGGGAGTAAGGCTCAGGTGAAGGCTAGCACCCAAACCCAATGCCTTCCCCCAGCATGTCCTGCTCCAGGACACAGGCCTGGGCCCTGAGGGAGGCAGCAGAGCATAAAAGGTACGTGCATGGGTGTCGCCATCAGAAAGCCCTGGGTTCCTATCCTGACTATGATGCTTAAGAAGCAATGACTTCTCTCTGAGCCTCAATTTTCTCATCTGTAGAATGGGCCTAATAATAGTACCTGCCTGGCAGGGTTATTGAAAGGACCCAAATAAAAATATGTAATACAGCACAGTGCTTCACATGTAGAAAAAGGGCTGTTTTATTTTTATTGCTATTACTGTTATTCTGAAAGGAAGAGACTAGGACAGAGCCCTCAGGACAGAGCCTTGGTGTGTTGGAGGAGGTGAGACCCACTAGGACTCAGACACGAGGCAGACTCAGGGGCAGGATGGAGAGGGTCGAGGGGCGTGGAGGCGGAAGTGCATGGCAGAACCCCAGGCAGGCTTTCTAGAGGAAAGGGCAGCAGCCTGGTGGTGGAACTCCCAAGGAGCTTTAATGCTTTGTGACACCCATGAAAATCACAGAGTCCATACCCACTTATGACTTCACTCGGTCTGAACCCACCCCTGAGCCAGAGAGAACATCTCTGTTTTCTGCCTAGAGATGTTGAGGAGGGACTCCATATGTTGCCACTCAAAGGTCAGATTCTCATGCTCCATCCCTCCCAATCCCTGCACACCTCCCCCGCCACACACAATGGAGGGGACTCTGCCCTCACTTCCTGAGTCAGCTCATTCCTGGCCTGCCCCCTGCCACCATCTGCTCAGGGCAGAGTCCCACAGACCCTCCCACAGAAGGCCCAGAGAGGGACCCAAGGACTCCATTCCTGAGCTCTCAGGGGGCCTGAGGCAGCCAGGCAGTGCTGACGTGCAAGGAGCCATGCCAACCTGCCATGTGGGCTGGCCCTGGGCACTCCTTGGGGCCTCATTAGCTTTACCATATAGTGCCTCCCAGTTCCCCCAGACACATGCCTCCCTGCCTGCCTGCAGACAGGCCCTCCATCCTGTGCCCTAGGAAAGGCTCTGGGTGTTAATGTCTCCTCCCCTGGCACCTCCAGCTTGAAGAGCCAGCTCTGCTCCTTCGAGGAGCCCCAGAGGCCAGGATGAGTCTCCTCACTGTCAGCCTTTGTCTGGTTTGTGTTAACTCTGGACCCAACTGAGAGACTGCTCTGGGCTCAGGGAGGTTCAGGGGGTTTGGGGTTAAACCCACCTCCCCACCAGATCCCTATCCAGGGACAGGCCTGGGACAGCCTCAGTATGCAAGCTCCCTAGCCATGCAGAGCCTCGACCCCATAAGGCCCCACTGCTCCCCAAGGTTCCCCTACATGGAGCCCTCACATGCACTTTCGCCCTTTGCTTTTCCTTGAGCCACCCCTCTCCTGGAAATGCTGTCCCCAGTCCTCTTGGCCCACCCTTTGAGGTGCACCTGCTGATGTGGGCTGAGTGCTCTGGCTTGCTGGGCACCCTCCTCTCTTCTCCCTCCCCCCTCCTCCCTCCTTTGAACACTGCATCTTCACCTTTGCCCTTGGCCACATACCGTCTGCCACCTCCCTGAACAGGTCTCCTCCCCAGCAGCCCCCACACATGGCAGGGTCACAGTGGCTGCTGACAGAGACTGGCAAGAGCAGTTCTGTTCTGAGCCCCAGGGGGGAGGGGGTTCTGGCCTGGAATTATCCAGAATGACTCCTAAATACCCAGAAAAGAGGGTCAGAATCACCTACACCTTCAAATCTCTTCTCCCAAGTTACCTGCCATCTTCCTTAAAGAATATAGGACAAGCAGGAGCCAAGTGGCTATGGGCTGAAGGGAGGCTGCCAGACAGAGAGATTAAGAGCGCAAACCTTGGGCTGGCCCATGGCTCACTCAGGAGAGTGTGGTGCTAACACCAAGGCCATAGGTTCGGACCCCTATATAGGGATGGCCGGTTAGCTCACTGGGTGAGTGTGGTGCTAACAACACCAAGTCAAAGGTTAAGATCCCCTTACCCACTATCTTTAAAAAAAAAAAAGAGTGCAAGCCTTAACCTGAATCCTGGATTTGAATCCCAGCTCCACCACTGACTAGTTGTGTGACCTTGGGCAAATTACTCAACCTCTCTGAACCTTGGTTTTCTGAGGCAATCGTACCTAGTAGATTTGAGGATCAAATGCAATACTACACATCGAGCACACAGAACAATGCCGAGCCCTCACTAGGCACTCTTTAAGTGGTAGCTATTATGATTAATAGTTCATAAGCATTAATAACAACATTGTTAATGAGAGTAGCAACATGATCGTTAGTGTGGGTCAAGGTGTTCCAACCCCCTATTCCCTTAGGGCCAAGGTCTGGGTCTCTCCAGCCATGGCCCCAGCCCCACCATTCCCAACTTGTGCAGGCACCGGAACATAACCCGTCTCGCCTCTGCCCGATCAGATTGAAACATCCCAGAAAGGTCCTTCTGGCCATGCTCTGAAGCCAGCAGAATGGGGCAGGGCTGGGGCGGGATCTGTGAGGACAGTCCCTATGGGGTAAGGGGAAGCCATGGGCTTGAATTCTGTAAACAGAGATACAGACATTCCCTCCTCTGCCATTAAGCCTTCTCTGGGAAGAGAACTGGGATGGGGGTATACTTACTAGGATGCCCAGTACCAGCCTGGGTTGGCCTGGACATAGTCCTTAACAGGGTCACTGCAGAGAAGAGAGAGAGAGTTAGAATTCACCCTATGTTTCTATTTCTGGTTCAACATCTGCATCTGCTCCAAACAGTTCACAAGAGGAAGAAGGAGGGATGCAGCTCCTGGTGTCCCAGCCCACAGTCCCAGGCTGGACCTGGGGGTGCCTGAGGGTGTGGCTGGTAGACCAGAGAGGAACAAATGCCTCACGGACACCCGCAGGCCCAGAAGTCACCCCAGGTCCACACCACACTGCATGAGGACTCCTCGCCCCATGCACTCTCTGAGGTTTTTCCCCACCTGAAGAGGCCCACTGCCCCACACAAATCTCTCCAGGCAAACATTCCAAGAGAAGTCTGATTGTGGGGCCCCCTGTCCCAGGCCTGGCCATGCCCATCCCTGGAAGGTGCTGGTCCACATCAGCAACTCACCAGAAAGTAAAGAGAGCCACGACACTCAAGGTCACCAGCAGCTGGATCAGCAGGATGGTATAGACCTGGGGGTAGAAGGGAGTTCTGCTCAGCTTGGGGAGCCCTGTTTGAGGTTAAGTAGACTCAGGCCTCCAGTAAGGCTCAGGAAGACCCCAGCCTCCCAGTGACTCAACCGACTCTCCAGACCCACATCCTGTGCACTCCACCTTCCTTCTTAGGGGTCACTGGAATGGATCCAGGACAAAGCAAAAGGGGAGCCAGATCCCAGGCCCACAGGGGAAGGGCCCACAGCATCCGGGGAGAAGAGACAATGTACTTAGGCATAGCAGGGGGCACTGGGGGAGACCTAAGGAAGCATTTCCCAATAGGTGCTGTCAGCTGGGATTACAAGAGAGGCAGGGAGGATGGTTTCCGCAGGCAGAGGGCTGGGCCAGGGGCTCCCCACAAGAGGCTCCCCACACTAAACCCCCAAGTCCCAGAGAGCTGGGGAAAGGCAGTTACCTTTCTGACAAAGACTCGGCGAACCTTCTGATCATCCCAACTGAAGGTGGTGAAGAGTTCCTGGTCTCCGTTGGGGAAACCGTGATCATATCTGGAGCTGCTGCCTGGGTGGGCAGGTGCAAAGCCATGAGGCTCCCCACATGCTGAAATACTGCCCCCAACAGCCACCTGCTCAGAGCTGCCTTTTTGTAAAACTGCCTCTCTGGAGCTGCTAAAGTCTTTCTCTCCAGCCCCATTATCAAACACCTCACCCCAGTCACCCCCAGATCTCTCTCCCTTGTCATTTCTTGCTTTTCCCGCTCTGGGTCCTGGGAATAATCCGTCATCTCCTCTGCCTTTCCCTCCACTCTGACCAGGGCTCCCGGGAGGCCAACCTCTACCATACAAATGTGGCCCTTCCATCTGTGTCCCCCATGCCCCTCCCTGGACACTCTGGCTCCCTTGTGGCCAAAGATCAGAAAGGGACAGCCTCTCTCTCTGGGCTGCCCTTGGGGTGGGAGCTGGGGACTGGTCGAATGTGGTGGATCTACTGGTGCTCCAGCTGGAAGCCAGGGCTAGGGGGCTGAAGTGGAAATAACACCACAGCAAGGATTAGAAGTGGGAGTGGGGGTGAAGCTTCAGGGCATGGTCCTAGAACTCAGGCTTTTGGAAGGGCTTGGACTCCACATTCAAACAGACCCACGGGTGGATACCTCCTCTAGGACTAACTAGCTGTGTAAACTTGAGCAAGTCACCAGCCTTCTCTGAGCTTCTGATATGGGCCCATGATACCCACCTCATAGGGACCCAACAAGATAAAAATGAAAGCCCGTGGCTCTGTGCCTGGCAGGGACTACACTGCCTTCTCCCTTGTGTCTCCCCTGAGGGCCATTTCCAAGTCCTCAAATGTGTTCCCTCCATTCCCCTCCACTGTCCCCACCAGGTCTCCATGATCTCCTTGACCCTTACCCCCACCCTCAGCATTAGCCTTCGTCTTAGTCTTTCAAAGCTGACCATGACACTGCCCTACTTTGAGCTCTTTGATGGCTCCCTACTGCCCTTCACTCAAGTTCAAGTTCTGTTACAAAGCCTTCACTGCCTCCCTGAGCAGGCCCCTCCAGCCCCACTGCACATTCCTCCCTCCCACTTTTCTCAGCCTGAGTGTATTTTTTCAGCCATGTGCTCTCTTGCCTCTGGGCCCCTACACATTCCATTCTTTCAGCCTTGAATGCTCATTTCCCTGCCTCTGCACCCGGCTAACTTATGCCCACCCTTCATGACTCAGTGTGGATACCCCTTCCTCCAGGAAGCCTTCCCTGACTGTCAGGTGGGTTAGATGAGCTGCCTGGACCTCTATCATAGCATGTGGGTCACTGTGTGGTAGTCGTCTTTAACTTGTCTAGTTGGTCAGCTCTGTGAGGGTAGAGATCCAGCAGATCTTGCAAATCAACGCATCCCCCAATATGATCTCAGAGATGGACACTGTGCCTGGCACACACTTAGTAAACATTTGGTCACATGCTGACGGAAAGGCGCTGCCTTCCTGCCTTGACAGTTCCTTGGAAAACATCCTTTAAGACAGCCAGTCCTAGCAACCAAGATATGGAAAATGAGGAAGGGGGAGAGAGGTAGACCCACTGCAAACATGGGTCCTGAAGACCTTCACCCTCTTATCTTTCACTCCTCCTCCATGTCCTGTCTACATCCTCTGCCAAAACCTGAATGTCGAGGCCACAGAGGGGGAGAAAAGGAGAAGGAAAGCAGTCCTGTGGGGGTCTGGGGCAGTGAGAAGCGCTCCCGCAAACACCACACCTTCATTGGCCTTCCAGTAGGTCGCAGTGGAGTGAGTCTTCAGGGCTTCAGGGAAAGGGGGTTTGTGGTGGGAGGTGTGGGCCATGGTGGCCACTCCCCATGAGCAGAGGCTCTGTCTGGGGCATTGTCCCTGGGATCCCTTCTAGAATTCCGCTGGGGGTGGGGCTGGGGTGAGGTTGATAAAGTGGGGGAGGGGAGATTGAGGGGCAGCTGAGGGAGGCTGAAGGGCAGAGGATTTAATAGGGGGCCCTTCCTTACAGCTTGTGGGAAGCCGTATGTTCCCAGCCCCGAAGTAAATCTCCCAAAGGCTGCTCAGCTCCACAGAGGAGCTCCCACTGACTGGGATTCTTGGTCTCCGAGGAGCTGGCATCAGCCTGGGTAGATGCCTGTGAATTATGCCAGCTGAGGGATGCTGAGGCTGGGATTCACACACCTTCCCCACATCGTGCCCTCCTGCTCCCAGGAAAGGCTTGGGAAAGGGAAGAGACAAGCAGGCTGATCATAAGGTGGATCCCCAGACCTGTAGCCCCCAACAACCCTGGCACTTCCATGAGGACCTGTCCCCACTAAGGTTTCAGATCAGCCAATCCAGTGACCAGCCGCAGCCTCATACTGCCCTTTCTGAGTCCTCTGACCCCACCCTCACCCCTTCTCTGCAGCTCTTTCTTCTAGGAGAGCTTTTCTAGACTATCCCCTGGCTTTTCTTCCCCATCTGCCCCCTCCATTCACCTTGGCTTGCTGGCTTGAAAAAATCTCCTCTTCCCTGTCCGAGAGCACCCTGATGACAGACGTTGTATCTCTCCCCTTTCATGGAATCTTCTTTGACCTACCCTCAGGACAGTCCTCCAAATCCTAAGCTTTTGACAACACAGTCACATACAACCACCACACAGACATCTTTCTGGGCAACTTCCTCCTACCCAGGTCTTCCATCTGGGTCTACCACTCCCCCTGATGCACCAGCCTCCAGGAGCTGAGAGACTTACTGGGGTCCACATAGGCCCAGCTAGGGTGGAGAGGCACAGCCGTGGGGGCTGGGGGGAAGGCCCCCGCTTTCAGCCCCTCCCCAGAGGTGGCCTCCTCATAGGAAGGTGGGGCCGAGGGCACTGCTGGAGCCTCCTTCTTCTCTCCATTTGCCTGCTGCTGCCCCGCGGTCGCGGTCCCGGGGGCCTTGTTAGCCACGGAGAGCTGTGGAGTAGAGGCAGAGAGAGACGGTCACCAGGGAAAGGGAGCTTCCAACTCCTCACCAGTCCCTCAGTTCCTGGAACTTCCATGGGTACTTCCTCACTGCACTAGGAAGGGCAGGAGTGCAGACAAGGATCTCCCTATTTCATAGGTGACAGAACCGAGTTCCAGGAGGGTCAGGGCTAGCAGGGGCACAAGTGGAGCTGGGTTAAGAAATGAGGAACGAGAATATTCTTAGGAGTGCCCACCATTGGTGGTCACTGTCCCTGGGGCAGGGACTGGGTGCCTATGGTTCCATTGATTCCCTGGGGTCCACAGAAGGGCTTGACACATAGTAGGCCCTCAAAAATATTATTGAATGAAAGGTTCTCTCATTGAATCTTTCTGCCACCTTGCCAGTTGTATTTTTTTTTAGTTTTATAACCATTTTGTTAAGCTATAATTCACATACTATAAAATTGAGTCATTTAAAGTGTACAATTTAATATATTTTTTAGTGTATTCACAGAGTTGTGCAACTATAACAAGTTGTATTTTGACGCCTGTGTTTAAATGCGGGAACTGAAGATCAGAGAGGAAGAGTGTAACTTGTCCAAGGTCACACAGCCACATGTGGCCCACTGGATGGCAGGACCTAGGCACCGTCCACTGGGACTGGCCTCCTTCTGGGCTGGGAGTGACACAAGGCGAGCGGGGACGGGGAGAGAAGGGCAAAAGAAAGGGAGGAGGAGAGGGAGAAAGGAGAAAAGACAAAGGGGGCTGCAGGGTGAGGACGGGCAAGAGGCTCCTGGCTGAGGGTCCCATTCTGCCTCATCCTATTGGAACCTCAGCCTGTCCCCCAAACCAGAATGGAATCACAGAATGTCCCTGCTGGAAGGGACCTCAGAAGACAGTGATTAGTCTCTTCCTTCACTTAGCAGATGAGGAAACTGAGGACCAGAGGGAAATGTGGCAGGTTGAAAACTCAAGTCCATTTACACCCAGACATGCCCCCTGCCCCGCAATGGACTTGTTTAGCTTTGATGTACAGTTTAGCCTGTGAGGACCTGAATCATGCAGCCAGAGAAAGAAAGATTGGGGTGGGGCTGGTATGAAAACTGAAACGGCAACAAAAGGACTGAACCTCAGAAAGTGGGATTTAAGTCTGATTCCAAAAAGAATGTGTTAAACCTGAAGAGACTTTGAGGGAGGCTGCAGATTCCTCCTTTGCAGGGCGAGTCCAGCTGAGGCAGCCCAGAGACAGGCAAGCACCAGAAGATTTCTAGTCCTTTCCACCCCCAGAAAGCCTATGACAAGCCGGGAGCAAGGGGCAGAGGAGGCAGGGATGGGACATTCACCCCACGACAGGAAGCGGCGTCAGCGAAGTGACTGGTGGGGGTGGGCAGTGGAAGGAGAGGCTCAGCAGAACCCTGCCCGTGCTGAACACTGCCCAGGCCCCTTGGGCAGGGACTTTGAGCCCAGGCCTGTGGGAATGCTTCCCTCCCACTCCTCAACCCCCTTCATCACCCAGACCAGAAGGGTCATGCCCAGGAAAATCCATTTCAGCCCCCACCCTGCAACTCAGCTCCTTGGAGCATTCTGGGCCCTGTCCCACCCTCCAACACATATACAACATTCCCAAGGGAGGTCTGACCAATTGGCAGGAGGTGGTTTCACCCAATGACATCATTTTGAGGCCTGAAGAGCTTAAAATCAGGGAGGGGAGGGTCCGAGGGCCCAGGGAAGGATGCTATTGGCTCTGAGGCTCATCTCTGGGAGAAGAGGGAGTGTAGGGGAGGTCCCTCTCCCATTTTCTCTGCCCAATCCTTAGCACCCCCAAGCAGAGGGCCAGAGGACCCTCCCCCTTTGCCCCAGGCCCTAGTGGTTGTATAATTCCACAGGCTGTTGATGTTACATAACCCTACTTGGCCTGCCAAGTCTCTGCCCCAGCCCCTCCCCTACAATTCAGGACTAAAACTGGAAAAAAAGAGTCGTTTTATCCAGTCCCATACAGTCCCATGCCTGGCCAAAACAAAAACAAAAATTAGAGCATCCTGATGCAGGGTTGCCATAGTAACTCCATAGGGGTTGTATCCAGATATCCAGATGTGGAATAACGACAGGGACTTGGGGCCGGGGGTGGGGGGGAGATCTGCGGAGGGTGGGAAAGATGAGCATAAAGTGGTTGGGTTTGGGATTGGAGCGTTGGCTCCTAGGGGGGTGCTGGACAGGCACTGCCCCCCGGCTCACCCTGGCATGCATATGCACACGCCCAGACGCACAGTCACACTGGACTCCCAGGCTGAGTCTTAAGGGCGCCTGTGAAGGGTCTTGGGACGCCAAAGCATGGGTGGAAGGGAGAAAGAGGAGGAAAGGTGAGCCTGTGAGCTCGAAGAGGCCCCAGTCCATTCCTGGAAATGAGCGTTTTGGTCCTCTGACTTCAGCAAGGACCACTGAGGACCTTCGCACCAGGGCAGGGGAGGATGCTTAGAGTGGTCCAGAGAGCTTGCTTAGGTGACAGGGAGACGGGAGCCTGGAGGATGGAGGATGGTGCAGGCGGGGGAGATGCCGGTACCTTTCCCTGGGTCATGATGCCGTCTCTCGGGGAAGGGGTCCCTGAGGCAGGGGCGGCCGCCTGGGTCACCGCAGCCTGCCTGCGTCTCTTCCTTCCTCCGCGTGGGTTCTAGCAACATCCACTGCAGCCGGGCCAGGCGGACCGGAGCGTACCATCTGGGCGCGGGGGGAGAAGGGGGCCGGGCCTGGGAGGATGTTGCAGAGGACGCTGCGGATT